TGCTTAAAGGAGAGAGAAGAATATTAAGAATACTTCTTTCAACTATACTTTTCAGTTGTTTATCTTAAAATTAAAATCTTCTTTAAAGTAAGCAGTAGCTAGTAATAAAACTTGAATGTACATATACATAACAAAACAAGTATAAAGTAAAATAAAACTTCTTTTAAATCTGTAAAGAAACTGAATTGTTCATTTACAATGTACATGGATTTGTTGAAGAACAAACGTCTTATGACATAAACCGGCTAATACCTTGTAATTATGCCTCTTCCAATTAATACAGACAATTGCGTCGAATACTATTATATGCTCTGAAGATTTATTCGATACGGAATTAAGGAGATAAGTCCAATTACAATCAAGCTCATATTACGTGAAATTTGTGGAAAGATAAAATCAGCTCCTATGTTACGTAAGCACGAATAATTAACATTTTATTCATAACTCCTTTCAAAACGATCAATCTGTCTCATATTTATTTTGAATTATAAGGAACGCTATATCAACTCTGGTTGTAGTGAGCTTTGATGTAACCGGAAGGAAATGATTAACACTGCCATGAGGACAATTTAAAAAATTTCAAATCTTGTCACTTATTTGCTATATCACTAATATTTTAGTGGTTTTGTTGAAGTATAAGCCGTATAATCGCTGAAACGTAACTCGAGAATGCATTGTCGTAAAATTTAATTATACTATATATACTCCAAGAAAAAAAATAACACCCGACACCGCACCTAATTTGTTATTTATTAAGAACTACAATTATTCAGAAATCGTGAGATGTGGTCTGATGTGATGTAGGTTTCAGAAAAACATTTTCTTTCTCGTGCCAACGTTTCGATCTTTATTGAGATCATCTTCAATGTTTTTTTGAAATCTACATCACACCAGACCGCATCTCACGATTTCTGAATAATTATCGATTAACGGTCACTAACCACCACACATAAAGAACTACATATATTATATCGTTATATTAATTAAAACAGTCTTATTTTAATGAACATCAAATTAAACGAAATCAGAGATTCACGAGTTTTAATAAAAAATATTTAATTATGAAGTTCTGAAAGGTCAATTATCGTTATTCACCAAAACATTGGAAAATGAATTATCGATAGACTAAAATTTAAGTCAACAATTTATTACCTGGTTGCTCTTTATGCGTTATTAAGAGGAAAAATAGGCATTAAATTGGTCTCTCTCTTTTTCTGTCTGTCTCTCTCTCTCTCACTCTCATCACTCTCTTTCTTCCTTTTACGTAAGGATTAATTTATTAATTTATTTATTCCATTGTGTATTTTATTTCTATATCCCTTTCCCAACGTCTCTCTCTCGCCCTTTTTCTTTAACAAAAATTTGTTTAATGCTTACGTTCCATTAATATCGTTGACAATATATGCAATATATACAAAAAAGCACTTGGGTCTGATTAGTTTCATGAATCAATTCATACTTGAAATAATTTAACATTTTTACATTATTTCTCGACGTATTTATATTACAAACATTGACATATATTTTTTGAATTTTGATTCAGGTTTGTTTATAGATACGTATAAACTATAATTTATCGTATAGATTCTTACATTTAAAGACACAAAAATAGTATTTGCATTTTTCAAGACAATTTTTGAAAAAACAAAATTCATAAACATCTTGAAACAAAGTGAATCTTGACTATGAAGCTACATATTTCCAAAATTATTATCAAAATTTAGGCCTTACAGGTAACTAATAAATTACGCTTAAAACAATTGAATAATTTCTACATAAATTCACTGTCCGAGTGTTCGGCAAGAAGCAGACGTAAAAAAATAACATCTTAATGTATCATTTGTTTGTATTTATACCGTCTATCTCTTTTATTAATAATTTAACAACCTGAGATAACATTAAGAAGTTAGCATGTTATGCAGCTGCAAAAAATATGAGAAAGTAACTGGGAAAGATTTGTGAAAAAACACGAATTTCCCGTTTTGTTGCGCAGATGGCCAGAGATGAGTAATAAATTAATAAATGCTTGTCAGCCACAAAATAAATACGTGCACTCTAACCACTAAACACAAAATTTGCAAAGGGATACGATGTGTATGTAATTACCCGAAACGTTGAAACAATTTACTTTTTTTGCACGAAATCAAATAAAAAATATTACCCTGTAATTGAAATAATTAGATTTAAAAAACTTAAACAACATGCTGCAAGCAGTTTTAATCTAAAATAGACTAAAAAAACAATAATTTATTATGTATAAATTCATTTAGGTTGTATTGGAACTAATCAGACCCATATGCGTTTTACTTGTTTTATTTAGTAGATCGATTTCTGGGGCAACCGCCTCCCCTCATCAGTTGTCAGTTTCTAAAATACACAGGTTTACATAATATTTTACAAAACTTTTTTATACTTAAATATGTAAAAAATATAATTAAATTATAATAAGAATTGCTTGGTCACCCACCTCATTTCAGATCCGGAAACACATAAAGCTGTAGGTTTCCCCTAGGAACTCATTTATCCAATAAATGGCGTCATTTGCAGCTATGATAGTCGATTCTTCATTAATTATTTATTTTGGTATTTTATACTTAATTGTACATGTCTAATTTACTATTTTTTGTTATAGATATTATTTTTATAGAAATGTTATATGTTTTTTACATTTTAGATAATTTTTATACATTGTTAAAATATTTTTTAATTGTTTACATACTTAGTTTTTATCTTTGTATATATATATATATATATATATATATATATATATATGAGTGTTATTTTTCCACGTTTATATAGAAGTTCTCCAACCAATTTGTGTTGGTTATTTTTTCTGCCTAGTAAACTTACCTCTTCAAAATTGATTTTATTTGTTGACAAACACAAAACGGATAAAATATTACTTAATTTATGAATAAAAAACAATGTAAATAAAGGAGATTGGCTTATGAAATAAACATCCTTATTTTCCTATAAGTGAAGCATTTTTTCCAAAATACAGTATCTTTTCCATGTTAGGTTAAACCAGTATTATCACTTTCGTTTTTTAAATTATTTTTATGTTTGTTAATTCTTAAGGCTTGATAGGCCAATTTTTTGTTTATTACATCATTAAAAATGAAATATGAATTGGTTATATATTTTTTCTAAGATTTCAAAGAATTATTGTTTTGTAGGGTTGTGTAATGTTTTTATGTGTTCCTCCCTTTCTCTTTTATAGTTTTTAGGCCTTCGCTAAGTGGATCGAAGTGAACATCGATTCTATATCTACGCTACAATTCCTATACGAATGAATTAATGTACATAAAAATAATTTAATCAATTACATAAAATTATTATTGAAATGTAAAACCATCAAAAAGTATTTAATACAATTTTTCGATCTGATGCAATGTTGACCATGTTTTTATTTATATTTAACGATTACGTACTGTACAAATATATGAACCATTGGCAATATGAGAAATAATATACATAAACTTTTCAATTAATTAATCTTTAGGTAAGATATTGGTTGAGATAAAAAAGTCAGTGTCACTTGCACGGGAGCGGGATGCAAACCCACCCATTCCCCATTGAATATAAATAAAGTTCTTGTATACCAGGAATACGTAGGAACCCGGGAGAACAGGGTGTGGAGCCTTTGCTGGAACTGTTATATCTACAAGGGATAGAAAGGCTTATGTTAGATGTTCATGGGGCCTTGTCTTCACAAGCGTCATGGAGGATAGTTGCAGTAGGAAGTTAAAAGCAGGCCTTGGGGTGAAAGTTATGGAATGGTATTCAGATTAATTCCTTCATAGCTGGGATATCTAGGTCTTTATGGATGTTATGGATGTGTTAGTGACATAGAAGGGAGGCCTATACGTTAGGGACGGATACGACGGTGGAGTTTAAACTTAAAATGTATTTGTGGATGTTGAAAGGTTTGAGTCGCACAACTCAACTTTGTAATTACAATTAATTAAGGTGTTTAGTTGAGATAAAAAAGTCAATGGCACGAGCGGGATTCGAACCCACGTCTTCGGCTAGATACGCCGCTGCTCTACCACTTGAGCTATCGTGATCGATCCACTCGGACACCAACTTCCCATCTCAACTCCACCTTTTGAATTTTCCCTCCTTTTTGCCATTTTTCAAATGTCGTGTAATCGGATTGGATCTCGGCGACAAATGAAATGGCCACGGAGAGCTTTAGTGAAGTAGCTAGGGTCCGAATCCCGCTCGTCCCATTGACTTTTTTAACTCAACTAAAACCCTTAATTAATTGTAATATATTAATTGGTCATGCGGACCACGATATTAGAGAATTTAACTTTGTAAGTTCAAATCGATCTGATTAGTGTTCTGTAGCTAGGAAGACTCTGAGTTGTCCTTCTGTTTCTTGTTTGAGTTCTTCTTTTTATTTAGTGTATGGGTTCCATATTTACTGGTTAAACGCTCTAGTTGCAAACGTACCTTTAGAATCTGAATTTCACGTGACGGCACCTGTACTTTAGCTTTATGGGCCTCTGAGTGGTTGTTATTGTATTCTTGAGTTGCCTGGATTGAACATAGTGCTAGGAGATCACGGTGTCGTCCGCGAAGGTGATCATGTGTGATAGAGTGTAGACTGTCTATAGGATTGGTCGGATTATGCTCCCCTGCAGAACTGCTGCCTTGATAGGGTTGATGTCTACAATCTGTGTGTCAATTTTCAGTTTAAACCAAAGATCAGAGAGAGAAAACACCAGGTTGAGGTATTGTGTGTGAGAAAGAATAATTTTTCATTTTAAAAGGAGATAGAGTGATTCTTTTAGACCTCAATGTACCTAAAACATTCGTGAAAATCAGAAAACCTTCAGACAACTTCAAACAGTAACTTTCCTGTCACAGAGCAAATTGTCTATGTCTATTACATTACATTTGTCTATGTGTCTATTACATTAAATTGTTTTCATCTGTCAAATATTTGGCATATTTCATTTTGTGTCACTAATTTTTTATTTTATTTTTTTCAGAACCCACGACAGATATAATTGGTGGACCTGATCTTTACATTGACCGAGGCAGCACCATCAACCTAACCTGCGTTGTACTCTACAGTCCTGAACCTCCAGCGTACATTTTCTGGAACCACAATGACGCTGTAAGTAATGAAACGATTTTATTATTTGTTTCTTTTTTTAGCAACCGGCAGCTTATATTATGAGCAAAACAATTCAAGTGTGCCCAATGAAAAGGAAATGGAAGTTTATTGGCGTTTTATTTGGACTTGGGCTAATAGAGGTTTAACTGACCGTGACGTCGATTAACTCACAATGAAATGTGTGCTTGCAATCAGTTCAATTTATTGGCACGTCTATTGGGCAGCAGTGAGGACGGTTTAAGAATTTGTAGTACGTTTGAAATTTATTGGCGCAAATACAAAATGGCTCCCAATGTGTATCAACGTCAATTCGGTTATAAAATATACAAACGAATATGAACGGAAAAATACTTTTTTTTTAAATGATATTCGTGTTCAATTGAATATTGTGCGTTTGATAAATGCCATAGGTCAGATGAAAAATTCAATAAGGAAAATGTTTCTTCCTTTATTTTTAAAAATGTACATATCATATTAAGTCAGATCAATAGGTACGAATAACGGCAAAATAATTTAATAAATCTTTATATAAAATTTATTTATTTATTTACAAACTTACTTGTACTTGCACTTACCTGGAAACAATATTTAATATTTTATTATTGATAAAACACAATATGTAATGATTCTTATCAACAGATTAGTCCAATCAAAGATAAATCATATTACGTAACTTATGCAAAAACATTTTACCATAAAAATTGATAATAAATTAACAAACCTACAATAATAAATATATATATATATATATTGTTTTTGCTTTAAATACAGTCTAAATTTAGAACATAAGTGCAAACCAGCATATATGTATAATGTTAAAAGGAATTAACTCGGCAAATGCCTACCCACCTAAAAACTTCTACTTGTATTTATCGGTGATCTCCAATAGTAACAAATGTACCATCACGGCAAGAAAAGGTAGAATTCAGACATAAAAAAAGTATCGATAAACAATAAATAAGGTGCTTTTAGTGAGCTTTGTAAATTGCCTCAAGTACACAGGACTCGTCAGGATTAATTGCTTTAAAAGCCACAAAAAGTTCCTTTTTTCTATTTTAGACAGAAATTAGTTTTAGGATTATTAGGACGAAACAAAATTTATTACAGCGTTCATTTTTGTTTAAATCAAAAAATTTTTAATGGAAAAATATCTGAACTAGTTTATTAGTTACTCGAAGTTGATTTTATATTTAAGGCAAAATACACCGCATTCGATATCCCACTTTTACACGTTCTTTAAAAATGTGGATTTTGGGAATTCAACAGACTTCGGAGATACAAGAAAATGAAGTCATATTTAAGGAGAAATTATTTCCAAATTAAAATATATAAGATGGCTATAAAGGCGCGTGACAAAATTGCAAGAAACGCCAAGACACAGCCTTCTAAGTGGCCATAGATAACAGTTCTTTAGCAGAACGACCCATGTTTTAGAAAAGGGAATAGATGGAAGTAAAACAGCGCAGGAAGTAGTTGTAGGAGAAAACGAAACGAATTGTACCTTTAAACTAGCCACAAAAATATTACAAGCTGAAGTTTATGCAATCCAAATCTGAGCATATGAGTTGATATGTAAAAATATGAACGGTGGCCAGGTCTACCTACGTTTGGATAGTCAGGCTCTAAATGCGTACGCTTTTAGTTCCAAACTAGAGGTAAATGTTTCTAAGAAAACACAACAAGGTAACTTTAGTACGGTTCGAGGCCATGAAGTTATAGAAGTAAATGAACAGCTAGCCAAACAAAGAGCTGCACTCATGGACCAAATCCACAACTACGTGCACCGGAGGCAAGCTAAAAGATTTATAAATATTGCAGAACGAAGATGAGGAACTTCGTTTTGTAAGCAGGCTCGATTTGAAAACATGCCGACTCAGTCAAGAGAAACCATAGAAACGGCAAAAATCCTTTATGAAGGTCAATCGTCATCCTGGTTACGGTACAGACACTCCTCACCAACTGAATTGCGCAAAAAGGTACAGAAATAAATGCTTAGTCTTACACAAAAAAAGGCACTTAAGTCCAATAATTGATCCCCCACAAAAAATTATACATTTTTGAAGCCTTATAAAAAGTAATAATAAATAATAGTGGTAGCCTGGCAAATACGGTAATCTCAAGCCATACATAAATAGTTATGTATTTACAGTATATGGCTAGCAGATATAACATGTAACAATCGAACCGACTGAGTAACGATTTAAGTAGGTCAATTATGCGGCCTCCCAGACTTTAATGAGGGTTTTAGTACATATGTAGTTGCCTGTACGTAGCGGGTTGCTTTGCTTAAGTTGACAATGTAGCAAACATACACTTATGTCAGAGATAGAGAAAGAGTGAGAGGGGGACTAGCTAAGTAATAATGATTATTTAGATATCGCGTAATGGGGTCTTGTGTGATGTAGCTTTAGAAACATATTTTCTTTTTCGTTCCAACGTTTGGACCTTTATTGAGATCATCTTCAGGGCCTGGGAATTATACATTGTTTAAATTATACAAATACATGTAAAATGTAAAAATGAATTTATACCCTGTCCCGAGGAATATCGAGTACCCAGGGAGAGTAAATGTGACCAGTCTTCTATGATTCTATCGAGTGTTGTTTGTGTTAATTTATAGGAATGAATGTAATTTCTTAGCTTGAAAGGAAGGGGTTGCTTCTAACTCCACCCCGAGGAATATCCAGTACTCTGGGGTGAGTGGGTGACGTCTGGGGAGTAAAAGTAAGTTATTAGCGAGAATGGAGTGATGATAAAATTAATTTATACAATGATGTAACAACCCCCCCCCCCAGGAATATCGAGTACTCTGGGGGAGTAAATGTGAGCACACATAAAAATATATATATATATATTTGTGTGTGTGTGTGTGTGTGTGTGTGTGTGTGTGTGCGTGCGTGTGTGTGTGTATCGCCTGATACACATTTAAAAGCAAAGTGTCAGAAACCAGATCGAGATGTTCAAATGGCTGCAGTTTAAAAGAAAATAGGCGAGAGAGAAAAAGAAAGAAAACACGCAAAGGGCCGGCGACGACCTCAGCTGTTTGTCGGCCCATAAACTTCCCATTTTATATATATACATACAATGATGTACACAATGCAGAAATTGTAGATTTAATCAAGGTTTTTTGTTAATGAGGGTTCGCAATAGCAGAGGTTATATCAACCCTCAAGGTGCCGGTGTTTTTGAAAAAAAGCCCATTTGTAAGTATGTCGGGTTCGAATTGCCGGGCCGCTGGATTCGAACCCAGGACCTTTACCTTACAGTGATGGACGCCGTATCAACGCCTAAACCGTTGCGGCCATCGAGCCCCCCGTCAAGGTTTATACACAGAAAACACCCGCTTTGAGTGATTACAAATACTTTGATTCAACCTAATTTTTCTATATTGGGTACATCTTCACTGTGCTTCCTCTCATTTCTACCGGTTGTATCCGTTTTATTGCCTCTCACTGCCGTGTCAGAGGGTTTTGTAATTATATTAATATATTGTGCTTAATTTTATGTTCTACTTTTTTGCATTTTTTTTACGATTTCATTTCCACAGTGTGTCCGTCATAATAACAGACCTTTGGTATGGGCATCTATTCTTTTCATTTATTCCTTTCATGTTACATTGTTCTTTTTGCGGGGGATGGACTTCCTAGCGGCGGTCTGCTTTTCATGGACTTCGTACGACGTCATACGAAGGATTGATTTTTTGTTATCTAACTCGCAAATGTCTACTAGTTAATAAATAAATGTCTTCAAAAATAGTTAGATAAATAAATAAATATAATATAATACAATAAATTAGTAACAATTGTCATAAATATGAATAAATAAATAGTTTATAATAGAAACATCAAATTTGAACCAGAATGAACGACGGTGACAAAATTATAACAACGGAAAATGACCGAAATTAAATGGTGTATAACTCGCCAAAGCAAGACAGATGGTGTCACCTTTCTTTGTTAAATTAATTTCCTTTGCCATTCGAGTTTTTTGGGGGTATTTTTTTAATACAGTCTTTATTCTCTACTTGGGGTCCGATTATTTTTTTGAGATCTGCCTCCGTAATGATCTTCTTTAAGTTTTCTACCGGACAGAACCTTTCATACTCATGGATTTCACAGTGAAGCCATCGTGCATTGCGTCACCAGTTGAACCGCATAGGCAAAGTGGTGACACTACACATTTGAATTTGTGTAATTTTTTACACACGGAAATTTCCGTGCCCTGTTAAATATTGGGAGATTACATAGTCCAAATTGTGTACATCATTGTATAAATTCATTGTCACACCTTACTTGTATTTGTATATTTTAAACAATGATACAGAAGATGGTCTTAATAATGATGGCACAGTTGGCACGATAAAGAAAATGTTTTTTAAACCTACATCACACAAGACCGCATCCCAAGACATCTAAATAATCATTAATTAACGGTCACTAAATACTAAGCATAAGTAATAATCCTCTAATCAATTGTTTACATAACGCACCAAAGAGCTATTTTTTAATATCTTTATTTAGGGATTCAAGCATGTTTTATTGTAGTTGAAAAGTAACAAGTACTTAGTAAGTTGGGCAATTATATCTTTTTATTATTTATTCTTAAAAATAATTCAAATTCAGTAAGAATGCGGAAGTAATTAAACAAAACGTTTGATGTTGTAAACCAAAATAACAATAAATAAAGAACAATAATACTATGTATATAGTGAGAGGAAATGAGATAAGCGATAGAATCCTATCTAATGACCATATCCAAGAAAATGTATATATATACGTTTACAATATATCGTGTGTCCTTGTTTTTATCGGAACTTACATAAATGGAAAAAATGGATCGCCCATGAAAGTAAATTGTTTTTCTCCAGATCACGAAGGGTTTTATTGTGTAGGGGGAAAGCTTGGGGAACACCTTAAAGGAATTTGTACCTCGTGCCTGTCATTTGGTTCAGGTGGGCGTGAGCGGCGTTCTTCCAATTTGTATTGCGCACGTTCCTCGGGCATTTAATGAATGTGCGATAAAGAACGTTGGCCGGACGGTAGGCACGTTCTGGCCCGACACACTGCGTCCGGTGGGGATTCCTCTCATCGCACTGACACAGGAGACCTTAGGAAAAAAATTGGTATACCGAGTTACCTAAAGTTTC